ATCCGCATCTGCCGGATTGTTGTTGCTTTCCGCAACAACTGAAACAGAAAAGTAGTTTTCCCAGTTAATAATCTGCGGTAGAGAGAGAATATCTTTGATCGGGATGAATCGAAAATACGGAAATATTTTGATATGGGATTTTTGTCTTTATATTTTTGTTCCAACATTGAAAATTTAAATGAGACATGAAGCTTTCAAGAGAGCTGATGAGGAACAAGTTGCAAAGGCAAAGATCATAAAAGGTTGAACATAGATGTGTAGGAAACTTGTAAACTTTACCTTCCGGCCGATCCTGCTCTGCCCGAACCAAATCCTCCGGTGTGACATCCGCGTCCGCGGGACTTGCTTCCCGCAACGTCTGGAACAAAAATTTAGCGTTCCTGGTTGGTAAGCTGCGGTAGAGAAAGAATGTTTGGTCGGGATGAGTGGAGAATATTCGCTATGATTTTTTTTCTTCATTGACATTGAATGTCTAGATAGGAGCTCTTGAAAGAGCTGACGAAAAAAAATGACAACAAGAAGCGGAGATAACAGTTGTGTGCTCTCGAAAATACTCTTTTACGAATGGACATTTAAATTTAGATCCCGTAACGAGAGTAAACAGACTTGAAAGAAGCGCTGACAGAAAACGAAAAAGATCGCAGTCTAATAAGCGATATGACGTTGAATATTCTACACAAGACCGGTATACTCACACAATTGGGAATTATTCAGAATGTTTGATCGAGAACATGATGAATTAGAAATCCGCGTTCATGGACCGTTATCCGTCTCTGTCTGGATCAATATCTTTTGTATACAACAACGCAATAAATAGATAGACAGACAGAGATTGACGAGAATAATTGCAGATTCATAAAGTTGTGATTACTAGTCGGATGATGACGGATCGTGAATGTCGAGCGCGAAATTCCGACTTCTTATTCCCGGAAAATTCATCAAACATCCGCTCTCGTTATTCGAGACCTCCCGTATAATAAATGATTCCACATACCTGGAAACGTGACATATCGCTGCCGGCGTCCTGCTTCCCGGCTGCTGGAGTCCTCTGGATTTCACTCACTCACGCTTCTAATGCCGATACTCGCGATTCGATCGTGCGGTTAATCAACGCGATGCCGACGCGATGCCGACGGATTGAGTATCTCGAAGAATGATGAGATACATTTTTTTCAATTCAACACGAGACGGAAGTGACGAGCGGGTCGCACAGCTGCTGTTGATGAAATGAGGTCGAGTACGCGAGGCGCACGAGTATTAATACGAAGGGTAAAAAGTGTTGTCGTCACTCGCGAGCCGATCAACACAACCGGCGCGATGTAAACATTGCGGGCCTCGGCGGCGGTTGAAGCAAGAGAGACTTGCCCTTGGGCGTCTCTTCTTTTCTCGAAGGTTCCGAAACGACAAGGGAAATGCGAGGAGGCCTTTCAACTGTACGCGATATTGATTTACTATTTATTGATTACTGAAAATAAACAAAATTACTCTGTCGAAGCATCGGATATTTGTTAGCTTTATGTTAATTAAGGAGGAATGTGTACGATTAGAAAATGTGTTAGCAACTAATTGTACAGAGTGTCAAAGTTGTTGTGACGTCGTTTTCGGAGAATACTTGAAGGTCATGGTAGCGTTAAAGAGTGGAATTTCATCCCATGCGAATTTTATCTCGTTTTTATTAAATGTTAGATTATCCGCTGCGGACAATAACTCTTCTACTTTTCATCTAATATTCATTGATGATAATAACATTTAATTGCATTCGTTTGACTTTTTTTATTTCGAAAATAAAAAAATATATACCAGGGTGAGATTTCACCCATGACAACATCAACGTGATTTTCTTTGATGCTTTTTTTAAAATTTCAGATATTTCGTCGACTCGCGGGATATTTATAATCGGAGTATCGTCGCGTTAATTAACACGTGCTCTTCCGAGCGGATCGAATGCTCATTAACGGCCACTGTCAGTGCCAGAATGAATGGACGGGATGCTGAATTGAGAAGCAGGGCGAAAGAAACGGGACGCGGGCAACGATACATCATGCGTCTCCAGGCGTGTCAAATCGTTTATTATACAGGAGACTTTGATACAGCAACATATATTCGAAGATTTAATATTTAGTACGTACTTTTATTTTTCCTGTTCCTCCCCCCCTCCCCCTCCCCAGCTCTTTTTAGACCTTCGGACATAGCCTGGTATAGAGATGGCAACTGTAGTTGCAGCACGGACATAAACACCGCCTGAAATTGGATGTAGCACGGACTTCCACCACATGCAGATTTTACAACCGAGACTTGAAAGTGGATATAGCATCGTAGTTCCCCTTTGAAAATGGATGCAGATGGCGTGCTTTTCCAGTGCGGAAAGTTGGTGTCGCAGAAAATGCCGTGTTGGCCGCTTTCATCAGGTTTCTTTCTGCTATAACCAGAGAGTAACCTGAAAGCGGCCAATACGACATTTTCTGCGACACCGACTTTCCGCACTGGGAAAGGATGCCATCTGCATCCATTTTGAAAGGGGAACTACGATAGTACATCCACTTTCAGGTCTCGGTGGTAAAATCTGCATATGGTGGAAGTCCATGCTACATCCACTTTCAGGCGGTTTATGTCCGTGCTGCAATGACAGTTGCCATCTCTATGCCAGACTATGCCCGCCGGTCTAAAAAGAGCGGGGAAGAGGGGGGGAGGAGCAGAAAAAATAAAAGTACGTATTAAATGTTAAATCTACGAATATATATTGCCGTATCAAAGTCTCTTCTATTCGAATATTCTCCACTCATCCCGACCAACCATTTTTTCTCTACCGCAGCTTACCAACCAAGAACACTAAATTTTTGTTCCAGACGTTGCGGGAAGCAAGTCCGGCGGACGCGGATGCCGCATCGGAGGATCCGGTTCGGGCAGAGCAGGGTCGGCCGGAAGGTAAAGTTTACAAGTTTTCTAACATCTGTGTTCACTCTTACGATCTTTGCCTTGTAATTGTTCCTCATCGCTTCTCGAAAGCTTCAAGTCCATTTAATTTTCATGCTGGACAAATATGAAGATAAAATCCGCATCAAATATATCGTATTTTCGATTGGTCCGATCAAAATATTCTGCGGAACATGGCCGGCTCTGACTGGCAAGTCGTTTCAGTGAGTCAAAATGAAAAGAGAAACAAAATTCTGCATGACGGATGTGGGACTAAAAAATATCGTTCGAGTCAATGCGAATTGCAAATAGATACTTGCATGTGTGTATTTGTGACGTTGAATAAAATACATTGCTCGAAACAATCAGGGGATTACTTGATCAATAGCCTGCAATTATATACAAGATTTAAAATACTGAATGATTCTCTTGCGCTAGAAGCGGAGATATCGACGGATGAAGGCTGGATATCGACGGAGAATGGCTGGAAAACTTTAACCTTCGATATCTCCTAAACGGTTAGAGATACAGGCCTGGCTCTGGTACCAAATTAAAGTCCTTTCAAAACCCTACATTTTGCCGTAAATGGCGACTCTCTACTCCCAGTAGAAGCGGAGATATCAACGGAGAAAGGTTGGAAAACTTTAATCTTCGATATCTCCTAAACGGTTAGAGATACAGGCCTGGCTCTGGTACCAAATTAAAGTCCTTTCAAAACCCTACATTTTGCCGTAAATGGCGACTCTCTACTCCCAGTAGAAGCGGAGATATCAACGGAGAAAGGTTGGAAAACTTTAATCTTCGATATCTCCTAAACGGTTAGAGATACAGACCTGGCTCTGGTACCAAATTAAAGTCCTCTCAAAACCCTACATTTTGACTACATGGACGACTCTCTACTCCCAGTAGAAGCGGAGATATCGACGGAGGAAGGCTGGATATCGACGGAGAGAGGCTGGAAAACTTTAACCTTCGATATCTCCTAAACGGTTAGAGATACAGGCCTGGTTCTGGCTCCAAAATAAAGTCCTCTCAAAACCCTACATTTTCGACTACATTGACGACTCTCTACACTCAGTAGAAGCGGAGATATCAACGGAGAAATCTTTAAGTGCAATGTTAATTTGTCATGCAAATCTATCGACACAACGAGTTTAGTCGAAATCAATTGCTATTGATCATCTCGTTGGATTCACGCCGAGAGTGAAACGTCAGTTTCGGCCGTGTATCGGGAAGCACAATCTCGGCAACGTTGCGAATCATAGTGAGATGGACAGAACACATTCCCTCTCTCTCTCTCTCTTTCGCTTGGCTCGTCAAAACAAGCCGAGCGGAGGGCGGGACTTCAGACGGATAGACAGGAGCAGTTTCTCTGTGTGTGTGTGCCGACTATATTCTTACATAGAAACGTACGGCAATTGAAAATGTTAAGCATATACCCTGAGATTCGATCTGTTACGTATGACGCGTGTGTGTGTGTGTGTGTGTGAGTGCGTATATGCACACGTACGTCACGCACACTTTCAATGCAACACATGCACACGGACACAACTGCGCTAAAAAACGCCGGAGTATAAATAAATACTAACGTAACGCTAAAATATTTTAGAAAATTAATTTTGGGTACACACAAAATATTATCTTATTATCATATATTTATATATCGATATAAATCGTATATAATCTTCATGATATTATTCATATATCTCAATTCTTTTTTTGATATTAATCATATATCTCAATTCTTTTTTTTTGTGCATGTTAACATGTTAATTCATGTTACAAATGCATAACAATGCGCGAGACCGTGCTTGTCAAGTACGCTATTATGATTGTAGCACGGACATAAACCGCCTGAAAGTGGTTGTAGCACGGACAGCCACCAGATGCAGGTTTTACCGTCGAGACCTAAAGTGGATGTAGCATCGTAGTTCCCCTCTCAAAATGGATGCAGATAGCGCCCATTCCCAGTGCGAAAAATCGGTGTCGCCGAAAACGCCGTGTTGACCGCTCTCAGTTTCTTCTCTGCTATAACCTTGCTTATTCTCTAGGGATTGGCGTAAGCCTGGGGTTTTCCGGGATACAGCCATTTGTAACGAATGAACCTTGCTTATTGCTGCCTCTGAGTATAGTTCGGATTTTACATGTTTTATCTTCCTTTAATACTTTTTTATCTTGGACAAGTGGGAAATGCTTTTGTGCGTTTGAACGATGTTTTTGTGCAGTAAAAATATTTATGACATGATAAATTAAAACTGTATCTCTGTGTATTCTGATATATCGCATTTAATTTCATAAAGAAAAAGTAACCTCTAACTCATAAAGTACCTCGTCAAAACAATTTAAAAGAACTGTCAAGAATGGCAGATGTGCGTGATATCCTAGACATTGAAGTTCCAACGACTACGGAACTTACAAAAGAATCGATATTAGGTAGTGACAAGAAAAATCGTAAGAAATATGACTACAACAAAGTGCCAAAACGTCCGGAGGGTATGCACCGTGAGGTATTCGCGCTACTTTGCAAGGACAATAACGATGTTCCGCCGATGTTTCCGACGGACACTGGGAAAGGATACAAGCAGGCCCGCGCCAAACTTGGTATGAAGAAAGTGCGACCATGGAAGTGGACACCGTTTACTAATCCCGCACGCACAGACGGTGCTATATTTCATCACTGGCGACGTGTTGCTGACGCTGGAAAGGAATATCCCTTTGCAAAGTTCAATAAAAAAGTACCCATACCAACATATACTAATGCAGAATATGTACAGCATTTAGTAACCAATGGTTGGACACGAGCAGAGACGGACCATTTGTTTGACTTGTGTAAGAGATTTGATCTGAGGTTTATTATCATTAAGGATAGGTGGGACCGTAACAAATTTCCAGCAAGATCTGTAGAAGACTTAAAAGAGAGGCAAATATTTTATTGGTGCATTTGTATTTTATCAATTTATGTACCATATAGCTTTCTTGATTATACATGTTACAAATAAATTTTTAGATATTACCAAGTATGTGCTGCATTAACAAAAGCAAAATCTCATACCGACAAAGTATATATGTTTGATGCGGAGCATGAGAAACGTAGGAAGGAACAACTCAAAAAGTTATTTGAACGTACTCCTGAGCAAGTAGAAGAGGAGCAGACATTACTAGCTGAACTGCGTAAGATTGAACAAAGGAAAAAAGAAAGAGACAGAAAAACACAAGACTTGCAAAAATTAATCACAGCTGCCGATCACCAAGCAGATCCCAGGAAGAGTGAGAGGAAATCTTCCAAAAAGAATAGCAATTCTAGGAATAGGCCAAATAAGACTGATACTTCTCATGTAAGTTCTTGTGAGAATAACCTAAAAAAGCTCTTTCAATTTTTATTTGAAATATTTTTCTAATATTGATGCTTCAAGAAAATTTAAAAACAACTTGACCTGAAGCTGTGAGAAAATTTAAATTTCAACTGGAAATAATACATATATTGTGAAATTTGCAGGCAGTAGAATCAACTGGGATTAAATTCCCTGACTTTAAAAACAGTGGAGTTACTCTTCGTTCTCAGAGAATCAAATTGCCAAGCAGTCTTGGCCAAAAGAAAATGAAAGGCATTGAACAAATGCTGAACGAATTGCGATTAGGTAGATTTTCTGTAATTTATGCTTCATATATTATATTGTTCTCGGAATATTATAGATAGGAAACTGAAAATTGCTATATTATTCATTATAGAATTAAATCCACCACCAACGGAGCAAATATGTCAGCAGTTTAACGAACTACGTAGTGACATAGTTTTGCATTATGAGTTGAGAAGCGCATTGTCAACGTGCGATTATGAATTACAATCTTTGAGGCATCAGTATGAAGCCCTAGCACCGGGAAAGGTAATTTTACGCGAGATTTTGAAAAGATGTAATTCCGTGTTATACTTATTTCAACTGTTTCATACAATAATCTCGTATCTTTTGTTTAAGACTTTAACCATACCACCGGCACTTCTACCGAAAACGGAGCCAGAAGTCAAAGCAGACATCATCGATGTAGTAGGATCACCCAGTATGCCCAGTATTACTCATTAATTAAGAAAAGAAAAAGAACATGAAAAGATAACAGGTGATCGAATCTATATATCTTGTAAATATTGTTTCTTTAGCGCGCCAACGATTTTCTCGTATGAAAAGCCAATAAGCATACATTTCGTCATTATACTGTATTATATTATAATTCTTACTTTGTGTATTATAAAGAAATAAACAGCTTGATGAAATGTACATTTACGAGTCGAAGTTGTTGTCGACGATTGACGCGGCGAGGTGATGAAATGACAATAAAAGAGAACACGTGGCATTTACTTATATATCTGTGTATTTTATATTGTCGACAAAAAGTAACAATGTACGGTCAAACCGTATAATTTATCTACAACAATCTACAATAGATTACAATATGTTGTTTTGTTTTTGTCGAGGGTTCAAGAGGAGCGACGGGGATGCAGAAGGAGGAGGAGGAATAGGAAGAGGGTGGGAGGTAACGAGGTCGGGACGGGGGAAGGGGGTGTTAACGGCAAGTGTAAAGAGTGTAGAGATGGTCGATGCAGGCCTTTCTTCGTACGTGCTCCGTTACTCGCGATACAGAGTTGACTCTTTATAATTCTATAATAAATTACTCCGTAATAACTCTAGCCGTACTTGGTACGGAATAATGCATATATCTGGCGTTAATAATTGATAATCCACCGATCTGTCCGTCTGTCTGTCCGTCTGTCTGTCTGTCCATCTGTCCGTCCGTCTGCTCCGCCTGTTGTTCGCTGCCACGTGTCACAAGGAATCTACCGATCGACGATCAAGCGCGTGATCGGTCAAGGGAGATGATGACAGGGTAGTATCGTGTATTGACCCGCGCACGTTCATCAATAGATATAGTTTGCGGATCTCGTGACATCTTTCTTCGTTCTCCCGGCGACACGATTCAACTCTGTCACGCTCGACGATCGCAATGCCGGTCGCATTCTTGATCTTCCCTCCCGAGACCTCGTTTAACAAAACAGCGGCTAACTCGACTGAGTCGTATCTCGCGCGTTAGCGACATTGAAAACTGAGGTTTTCCCTCGGTTGTGGATCATTACGGTTACGTTACATTACATTTCGTTTCGTTTTTTTCTTTTTTTTTCTTTAGAACCTTTATAAAAATTTACATCGGTGACACGCGCGTTTCTCTACGTCGCATCTAGCTTATCTACTAAGTAATAAACACTATAAGTTTAATTGCGTATGTATAACATTGTGTCGTCATCGTCATCGTCATCGTCATCGTCATCGTCGTCGTCATCGTCGTCATCGCCGCCGCTGCCGCCGCTCGCTCGCTCGCAATGTACCTCGATGGGGTGTCACTGCGTATCGTTCCGCAAGTTTTTTTTTTTCCGTACGTTATTGCCACGACAAGTTCGCGGGATACCACTCGAGTTAGTCAGCCGCCTCACAAAGTCATGCGTCGATCGACAGCATCGAACACGGCGGCGCGATCGTTTGAAGAAAATGCCGTGCTGTCTTTCCGTTGTTCTCTCGAGGTGTCGTTCGATCTCTTGAAACGAGAGGCGGACTTAACGATAAGGGAGTTATCATTGTCGGTGCGTGGAACTCAATATAACGCAAAGGAGAGGTAACAATCGCTTCCTAGGAACACTTACACACCGGACGAGTCAAGTAATAATCGTAAAAGGGAACGATCGAAAAATAAAATTATCGACGTTTTCTCATTCTCTCTCTCTCTCTCTCTCTCTCTCTCTCTCTCTCTCTCTCTCTCTTTCTCTCTCTCGCTCATTCTTCTTTTTCACTCTCTTTCTCTCTCTCTCTCTCTCTCTCTCTCTTTCTCGTCATAATAACTATCCTGTCCCGCAGGCATTAGAAAATACAACGAAATATTCGGATTTTTGTTCCATTAATAACAACAATATCCATCTCTCTCTTTCTCTCCAGCCCGCTCTCACATGACGATATTTATGCGTTTAATATATTTATATATGTATAATACATAATGGCGACGGGCTCCCTTTTTCCCATTCTTCCCGATAACAAGAGATAGTAAGATCGTTTTGGAGGCTGCCCAAACACACTACCGTACTCGTGCTCTAATTTTATAGTCGCATCGCCGATTCATTGAGCATCGTCTGCTATTGCCCAGCTTTCAATCACTTCGAGCGATTTAACACGCCGCAGTACATAAATGGATACGCGTGTGATATAGCAATAATGCCGCAACCATGATCGTAGAATTAATAATAGCGATCATCCGCGATACCACACATGCGGCACGTACACGCGGAAAATAGAGCGCTGATGATGATGAGTCCGTTGCGAGATATTTGTTCACTTGCCTCTGCGATCTAACTTGCAAATTGCAATTGGATAGGTAATTATAGATACGAGAGAATATGTCGACGTGTAATCAAAAGAATCAGCGTTGTCGGTTTTATGTACGAAGCGTTTGCAATTTATATACGCAAAACCTCAGCTGACTGACGGAACTCTCGAAGACGAGCGGCGATGGAGTCTCAATGAACACGGATTCGCGATCCAAATTTCTCGGGGGAGATCGGCTTACGGATCCGTGTTCATCGAGACTCGCCCGTTGGTCTTCCCGAACTCCATCAGCCGGTTCCATCGTTTTTACCCATAATTCCTGAAACGAGAAAAGAGAAACCTGTACGTGTTTCTCTTAATTAGAACGTCATCGAATATTCATGTTCGCTCGCTCACGAGTAGCTGAGAAGTAGTTAGTACTTGAAACCTCGTTATACGTTTATTCGAAATTCCACGATAACGGCGAAAGAAGGGTAAGGATATTCCTCACAAATCAGAGAACATATTCTTGCCGACGAAATGGAACAAGAGAATGTGGTAACTGCGTCGGTTTGATATCAACATATATTAACGCACGAGGGCGCCGAAGGGGAACCCTCGTCTGACTCTGAAGGAACCAACTCTCTCCTCTCCTCTCCTCTCCTCTCCTCTCGAAGACTTCATCAATTCAGTCTGAAATGAAAGAAGCGTTCGTTGCGGGTGGAAAAAAGAATCGCGCGTCGCGTTGGAATCGAAGGAGAAGCTACGCTGCGTGAGAAAAGGTGATCCTTGCTGCCGTATAAGGATCAAACGTCGGGTAAAGGAATCTACACACCGCCGATATATCGCGACATACTTAATAAATTCGAGCGAGATAAGTATAGAGCTCGATCGTACGTTAACGTATCTCTGTTTTTATTTATTTACTTTTTCTTCAAGTTTATCGGATAGTATGCGATAGATAGAAATGTAAACTCGTTACTCGATTATTGTCGACTGTGTAACAACGAATGCTCGCGAATCAAAGTTTTTGACGTTTCTCAGAGAGTCAGAATGCGCCCGTAAATTATTCGGCGCTCGTAAAGCTCGTTTTTTTTTCTTTTCTTTGCGTGTGGGAACTTTGAAGAATCGTTTACTTGGCTTTTTAAGTTATCGCTATGTCGTAACGTCGTGCCTCCCCTCAACAATCGGCTAACTGGTCTATAGGTATGCAATCGTTACATAGTGGAAACGTTCTCGACGAGTATTCTCTAAATAAATGCCTACGCGTTAATTCGGTATTATTTGTAAAACGCAGTTGTTTTTTTTTCTTTTTTTGATTTTCCTTTTTCGTCGCGCCTCATCAAGTAGCATCTTTCAGTCGCACGATGTAACGTTTCAAGGTTTCCAGGTGAGAAAAGAGTGACGCGCAAGTGGACGAAGGCGCGCGCCTTTGTGAGAGAAGTCGGATTTAACCGTGCAGGGAATATGCTCTCACGTCGATTCGAAGGTCCACTTACTGTGTGGCGCAGCTTCTTAAAGGAGCTATGCGCCGGGAAGAAACACACGGTTCTCCTTTGAAAAAGTACGGTACGCTGATGAGAACGTTTTTTTTTTTTTTTCTTTCTTTCTTTCTGCCGTTCTGCCGCAAAATTCCGCAAGAACGCGTTACCGGGTGGCAAAAGTGGAGGAACGAGCGGTTAGCATGCAAAGAGTGATGGCAAACCCGCGACAAGCTGTACGCTGTACATTAGGTAAAGAGGACTCGCAAACGGTAGACGAGTTTCAACAGACGTCATCCGACCGCGGCATTACCGTTTTAACGCATCTCGGCAACGAGATTCACTCGCTAGAAAAGAAATCGGTCTTTCTCGGATCGCGCAACTTCGTTGTTACTTCGCCTCGTAACACCGCGCTGTATATTGTTGCCGTACAATTTTAACAGCTGTCCGTTGGAGCATCCCCAGTTATTATCTCGCAGTTTATTTGAAGTAATTACGAATAAATAAGAGACAGAAGAGAGGTTAGAAGATAATATCGCAAAGATCAGCATTGCCATCATCACTGCGAACGAATCATCGAACGAAACGATCGGGTGTCTCTCATAATCGTCGGACTTGGACCGCGTGAGCTACATCGGTAAGTGATAAGTTTCATTTTAACGAGACTGTGAATTGTTTGCACGATCGCACGAACTCGTTCCAGCGCGATGCGTTAAACCGATATCGCCGTGCGTCTCTCCTGTTCTTCTGTATCTCGAATGTTGAAGCCGACACGCGGATCTCCGTCGTGGCAACTTGAAATGTGCGTCGTCGACAATTCACGGTAAAAATCGCTCCTGCTCCGTCACCGTCGTGGCTTTCCTCGCGACGAAAGCAAATGAAGAGGAAATGAGGAAAGAAACAGACACCGAATCGAATCGTAAAAAGATCGTGAGGAAGCGTCGCGAATGGAGAGTAACTCGACTTAATTGTACGTAGCGTCAAGTGTACAGAGTACGCGTGTTTTCATTATCCTCCCCCCCCCTCTCTCTCTCTCTCTCTCTCTCTCTCTCTACTCTTGTATATTTCTTCTCTCTGTTTTCTTCTTCTTCTTCTTTTTCTTCGTTTGCTCATATATATAATTGCGCGTATTTCAACGTGTAACTTCAAACGATCCTGCAACTGACCGGAAGAAATATTTTTCGTCGTACTTGAGATTTCCTCTCTGCTCCTGTGTTCTTCGTATTATGTTCTTTTTTTGGAATTTTTTGTCGTATAACATGTAACATGAGAAATCGTAGCTTACTCGTTAAAGACATCCCTACACAACACGGCTACGGTAATGCGTAATGGATATGTGCGCAAGTGCGTGTGACCAATCGGTTGGGAAGAGAGGACTCGGGCAGAGGGGAAGAGGAGAGCAGAATAAAGCAGGACGAGCAGGGGGGAGAAGGAGGGATCGCGAGGGTGGAGAAGATAAAGTGTCCGCGCGTACGCGCACATACGCGCACGTACGCACGTGCGCACATAGGCACACACGTTTAAAGTATATTATGTATAGGTTCTGTGTATAATTCAATCATTGATTTTTTTTTTTTCGTTAAGTAACTAGCTTCTTCGAGTATGTATATATATACACATAGATATATGTA